TTTTTTTTGCTCCATGTAATTTTCTGTGTCCAATCTTTACTGCATCTTTCGGGGCTCTTTCGCCTAACTGGCACAATTTGCTAGTGAAGGCTCCTGCTATATCTCTAGTAATTTTTGTATTTTTAGGGATCTCGGCATTCAGAACATTTTTTGATTGATTGTGGCACTTCCTTTCCACTTTTCCAAATTTGATTTTTTGCCATTGGCATTTCTAGGTTCTAGTATTCTTCTACAGTATCTGAGTGCTGAATTGTTTTTGCAGAGCTGCGGACTTGTTCCGTTTGCTCTTACTTTTTAGTTTTAGCCGTCTTTGCTCTTTAGTCTCGCAATTGAGCGGTAAATTGCCCATGTCGCTATATCTGTCCACCCACTGTCTCGAGTGCGCTAAGCATTCGAAGTGGCCCTTTAATTGATCTATTTTCCATGTCTAGCCTTGCGCTGTGTAGCTGGACTTCTTTTTCTCGTTCAGACAGTGGTTTGCCCTCATCTGCCTACCCTACATTCTGCAACAAAATTCATCAGCTTATCACTTGAAATCCGTTTCTGATTCAGGAAATGAACCGGGTATCGGTACCTGGTAGCCCACGATCGCATTATTCACCTCGATTATTGAATGGTCATGCTGAACCGATGCAAGAAAGGCATCAGAGGTGAGTGAACATCAGCTCAGTTTTTAATTTTCCCATCGGATCCAAAAAAAAACAAAGTTTGGTGGTTTAGATATTCAGTCAAATCTGAAATCTTGAAATCTGAAAATGCACGACTTAGGTTTTCTGACCCTGATCCTTTGGATACGGTATCGCGTACGGCTCGAGTACCACCCCCAAAGATCTACCCTACAGGTGTTGTACGAAGGACGGAAAGCTTCAACTCAGCTCCTGGGGTCCTTGCGGTACGTTTCAAGTCTTTCTATTACAATGTTTTCATCGTATGCATTTTCTTCTTGTTCGGTTATTTCTATCATCCTTTTCTGCATCACTTTTGAAATTGGAGGAAGTGGGAAAAATGTGTCATTTGTGCTTCTTTCTACATAATTCGTCATTCTTACAATTTGAGTGAAATTGCGGTATTTTGAGCACGCAATTAGCTTTCCACCCCCGTTACGTGTGCTGAATTGCGTGCTGTGATTTTTAGTGTTGTGTGGGCTTTCCTGAAATTTTTGTTTATTTTTAGAAACTGACGTGTCTGAAACCAGCAGAGCTTCAATACAATATCTGAAAAGCAATTTCAAAATTTAGGGCAAATTTTATGTTTTTTAATGACTTTTGCACATTGAGTTTTCACGGTCGTGTCTTGTGTAATTTAAATTTTTCTTGGAAACAAAAAAAAAGCCCTTGAAGTCGGCCCGCCTCTTTGAATAACTCCGCCCACTCACTATGAGCTAGCGCCTTGATCTGCGTATATTTTTTCTAGAAAGTGAGACTGATACAGCAACGGGAGGGACAACATCCCGATAACTACCTTCTACGGCTTAAAAATGCTGCATTCTTAAAATTTTCAGGGCCCAGCTTTGTTGTACTCTTGGAAATAGATTTTTTGCAGTTGGACAGGCTGTTGTTCAAGATTGTGCAGCCAGGCATCTCGAAAATATTATCAGCATACTTTCTATGGTATTATAAGTTTTTCTTATGAATAAAATTCCTTTCAGCCACCAATGTACACGCTTCCACGATCGTGTACCACCGTGCCAGCTCCTCCAGACCCCATAACCCGGATACACGATCCGATATCGTCACGACCGCATGATCCTATGGCCCGAATAATGGATCCAGTGACAAGACGTACTGATCCACGAATGGTCAATCCGGCGACTATGTCACGACAAGAGGCTTTGTCACGATCTCTATGCTCACCTGTGTTGCCACGACCGTTGCGAGCTGTGGATAGCAAGAGCAATTCCTTGCCGAGGCGGAGAGCAATTTCAGGTAATTTTTCGTCTGTCTGGTTTTTTTT